GCCATGGTATGTGAGTGTTATTTGCAATATTTGTGAGATCATCGTAATCTTGCGCACACAAATCCATTAATGCGACTTCATGCAGTTCAGACTTGTTGTGTTGAAAGAGATATGTAATTGTGATACTAAGTCCAACCTAGTATGATTGCTGTCGTGGCTTTTACGAACCGATATGAAGCCAACACATTCAGATACTGTGGGATTAATAGAAAGGAGTGTTTGCTGAAAGGGGTTTAATAGAAAGCTGATGGAGCGATGCCCCGGCCAGCAACTTGTTTATGACCTCTGAGTGTTTCATTGATCTGTTTCTAAGGGTATCTTTTTTAAAGGAAAGGCCAGAACTTGCAACCTTATTACTACCAAACAGTGGCATTTTATCACACTGAAATATATACTCTGAGAAATATACATCAGTTGCTTTAGTTACAAAGCTGTTATTCGTCTGCTCTGTGAAGCACTGTTAGATTGCTGGTTTGTTGCCAAATGAAAGTGAGATGGCTCAAAATGTTCACAGTACTGTATTACATCTCCCAGCTTTCTCACTAGATTAACAAAGGACGGCTGTAAAACTGGAGTAAAATAAAACGATCCCAACAGCTACATAGCTGTAGCTACTATGTATATTAACATGCTACAATGAAAAGAAGACACAGAATGCTAGCAGCACCAGATCATTCTTTTTTAGAGGTGTCTACACAGGGTCAAAAATTCCTGTGCTCTGGAGGGAGCAAAGGTTTTTTTTTAAATCCCTGCAGTGAGTGTTTTTCCCAATCACTTCATGTTGCTGCAGTACACAGACAAACTGTGCTGTACAATAAGACTCTGATGAGCTGTGGGCTGAGGGGTGGGAGAGGAAAGAGGAAAAGAGGAGCTGATGCATTTCCTCTAGACACACACTGTTTGGTGGTGTTGGTGTGAGAGTGTCTGTCTGTATGTTACATGCACACAGACACGTAGAAAAGTTGTTAAGTACTGGTGCTAATGGTAGTTTGATATCTAATATGCCCCATGCCTGGGTACCAGTAGGACAATAGAGAGGCCAAGTCTCTACTGGCCAGTGTGTTTACAGTCAAGAGCAGCCTCAGTCCTCCAGCCTGTCCTCATTCTGTCACTGGCCCTTCATCTTTCATTGCATTTTTCAATATATGTGTTGTCTTCTGAGACAACCCGTTTTCTTTTTAAATAATTCTAGTCAAATACTGCCTCAGTACAACTGTAGCCACTCTTAAAACTAAATACTCTTTCTCACACTGCTGTTAATTAATATATTAGAATTCCACCCAATTTTGCACGTTATCTGCTTTTATTTTTCTTCCATTACTCAATAACCAATTGACAATTGACTTCATTGTGCTGTTTAACTGACTGTTTAGACATGGGTGTTTGAAATTTTCCGGAAGAAAGTATGTCTGCTTCTGGTGTAAATCACTCAGAGGTTAGTCTTGGGAAGACTTTAGTAAAGGGGTACAAAGTATAGAACAGTGAGAATCCAGTGTGCCACAGCTATCCTGTTGCTTCTTTGTGCTGTCATGTAATTGTTGCTTTTAATTTGAATTTGTTTTTATCTAATTTGCATTCAAATGCGTTAGCTATATTAGCATTTTAGTGTTTTATCTATTGGTGTGGGTTATGTTAAGCACTTTGAATTGGCTTTTTTCAATGAAAATAAATAAACTTGCCTTGCCTACCAGTAGCGATGTCACTAGCATCAGGTGGGCTGTGGTCTTGCCACACCCCACAGAGAAGTGGCAAACTCAGCAAATAGGGGGAATATGGAGGAGAACACCCACCCCTCCGCAAAGGAAACATGTTTTCAAATCCTCCAGGTTCTTGAGATGCATGTGGGCCTTCAGAAAATACTACAAGAAAAGGAACAGCAACAGTGGCATTAGTAGAAACAAATGACAGCAAGTAGCATAGCTTTCAGGTGAGGCGTCTGGCAGCAGGTGTGACAGCAGAAGTTACTGTACCTAAGCACTGACGGCTTAAACACACATCCAAAATCAAAAGGGTATTTTGGATATGCTGTAAAGCGAGTGTGTCCTTTGAGTGTAATGGTAGTCGAGCTGACTATCTTAATTAGCTCACAAGCTTTATTAGTGAAATTCATGGGTTTTAATAATGCTTTTTGATCAGTCGTATATTTCCTGCTGTGGTTGCTGTTATCAAATGAGAGTATGGTTAAATAGCCAGCTAGTTACTACATTAGCAAGCGAGTCCCAGTGGCTTAAACTAGCTTGAAAGAATATAGTGAAAACAAAAACAAATGGGCTCCTATCAAAATGTCAATATTAATCCTCTGACCAGCTCAGCACAGCAGCAAAGAGCAGATTTACACACACTCTTGAGTAAACATACATTAGGTCTGCCTAGCCCGCAAATTGCTGAGTTCATTTAAAGTGCTGAACTGAGAGGCTGACTTCAAAGGAGACGTCTACCAGTCACAAAATTTAGATGTCCACGTGTTCAGTGAGGATATCTGAGTGAAGACAGCACTGATGGATGCCCAGGGCTGGATCCAGGCTAAGTCTAAGTCAATCTGCCATCCATTTGGTCAGGATAAAAGAGGCTGAAAGAGCTATTAAGGTCCGGCATACCCCCACTGGGAATTAAAGTTTAGCAATCACTTGTAACTTGCTCTGGCCATGTACTCAAGACAAAGTGTTCTTTTAATTAGTTCTCTCCATGTACAGAAAATACCTCAGAATTCTCTGTAGAGAGTTTAGTTGAAATAGAAGGGAGGTTTAAAAATCAATAGCATGCTATAAAATTCATCATGTGTTTTTCCATAAGAAAATAACTGTGGTCCACTGTGTTCTTTATGTATACTGATAAAGAGAATCCTGCCTTACCAGAGAGTAAAGGCTACTGTTTTGAAAGCTAATGTGTGCATGGACTGGAATACCATTCTACCTGTTTGTCTGGTAACCCCACCTTGGCTTCACAGTGACAGGACTCTCTAGTATCTTGGTGGGGAAAAAAGCACAGCATATACATGACAGATAGACTCTGCAATGTACAAGCCCAGAACGATTTGCACACTGGGAGGCCGACATTGCTGTAGACAGGAAGACAGGGTTTGGCAACGAGGGGGCCCACAAGCAGTTATTGAGACAAGAGAAGGCCTGACATCTGTGTTTGTAGAGATATTCAACATAGACAGACAAGTAAATAGGATAATCTTAAAGAAACAGACAGGCTCTCAGTCGATTTGTGGTGGCTCTTGTTGACAGTCAGAGAGCTTGTCAGGCCACACCTTGTCTGGCAGTGTTTACCCACAGCAGCCTACCTACTGTGTTACACCTCCACGTCACTGATTCTTTTGACTCAGCGGTAAACTATTACCATACATACATGTTTTTCATATTTCTGAAAGCTAACTTTATTCGTTTATTTGAATTTTAATCATATTTATTTCTACCTGCCCGCATTTAGCCTATTTTTACCCGTGCACGAATGAATTAATATTGACATATTTTTTACAACATCGTTTTTGCATGTTACCCGTCGGGTACCAGACCTGGTGCAGGACTCTGACAGGAGGCCTGGTTCTAGTGCAGTCTGCTGTTTGTTGTCTGGAACTGAACATATATACTATACTGGTATATCTGTACAAGTATATCATCATGGGTAGCTCAAACACCTCACCCTATAAAACAAGTTATATATTAGCACATTAGCTAGCTAACTTAGCAAGTGTACCATTCTTGTTATAAACACAATTTCATGTTTGAAAAGTGCATCACACCCACTCATAACACTTCTCAACAACATATCAATAAGTGACAGTGCATATATGTTCATACACAAAAACATGCTGACATTACTACACAATATTTGTACACAGCACCGAGATTAATAACCCACCTTAGGTACGTCTCTCATGAACTGACAACTCTTCACACCTAATAGTGATGTTTACCCACTAAAACCCTTGAGCCAACATATAGTCCATACAGTTAATGCAAATTGTGGCACTAATGGCAAGTGTAACTACACTACACAAATCACTTACAAGAGCATCATCTGAACTTGGCTTTCATAGGCTGGTTCTCTTACAACAGCAGTGCCAATTTGTTAAAATGTCAAATATACCTTTTCAAACCGCAGTAGGCACCCAAAGCAACGTGTGATCAGTTTAGAAGAACATCTACATCAATACTATGTTACTCTGACTATGTTTTGCATGTTATGAGGCACCTGCAGTGCACTGTGCCCCACCCGCAGGGAGTTGTGCACTGGGAGGAAATGGTAGTACAAGGAGTCAGACATGCAGGACAGGCTGCCATAGAGCAGTACCAACATGCTAGAGCATGTTGATACTGCACACACACACACATACACACACCTGCACACAGCACATCTATGTTCTCAGAACAGAAATGATATTGATCCTTGATCTATTTTTGTATGTGTTTCCATTATGTGTGATATCCTATAGAAATATGGTAGGGGGCATACCATTCATTATGTAACAGGCCAGCTGTGTCACCCAGGTCTATTACTCATACAAAGTAACACACAGGCATTGCTTGACACTCATGTGCAATCGTGTAATTAATTCAGGAAATCAAAGTATTTCTTTTATTTTAAACCACTTGTGCCCAGGTTTACATCCATGAATATTATAATTGCTGCCTTTGGGCCCTTATGCCATGCCTCCCTGTTTTACTTACTGATAATAATGAACAGTGAAAGGCTTTTAATATCTGATGTCTGCTTTATTGCCCAGGGTTGCATCAGTTTCCAGAAAATTAAGAGGTGGCCATTAATTGTGGTCATTAATTTACTGTCAGGCTGGAAAATTGTTTGTGACCTATTGAGCAGCAGCGCTTGTTACTAGGGTAACGACATTATTCCATAAAGTCTATAGTTGTTAATAGCTGTATGACTTAGTGTGACGTGCAGTCTGCTGCAAGCTACACACTAAGTGGCACAGTAACAGTGCGTTACAGTCTGGAGTAACCTGCCCAGCTCTGTTCAGTTGAACGCACTGAGACCTGGTTTTTGCTTTTTTGTATTGTATTGGTAGGAGGAGCCGCTTTCCTGTGATTGTCTGGTTATTCTCTCTCTTCACCCGCTCGCTCTCCTTCTCTCACCCTCAGTGCATCTCCTTCCCTCTCTCATTTTTCCAAAGTTGAATATTCCGCTTGCCTGAGAGCTCTCGCCAGCGCACGGACTGAACGCACCGGGCTGGTATCGCGCTGCGCTGCGTGGAACGCACCTGGACAGAAGGAGTGAGCTACAGTATCCCGACTCTGTTCAGTCCCCTCTCTCCACCCCTCCTGATTCTTCCAACTTCATTTCGGGCTACTTTCAAGATGACACAAGAAAAGCGCGTTCGCTATGTAAAGCTGGTAGGTGTCTGAAACCCCTCCCCTCCGCGCTGCGAGGTGTCTGCCTCGGTCTGGCTGTGTGGGGTTACCGCGCAGACACGCCGGGGTTGTGAGAAACGGGGGTTATTTTTCTCCGCTATCCATTTGGGATTTTCTTGATGTGTTTGCCTTATGTTTTCTCATGAATGGACCGAGTCAAACGCTCATGAACATGTCTGAGGTAGGCAAGCTGGTATAATGCTGAAACTTAGACACTTGGTGCTCTCTGGACATGTGTGTGTGTAAATGCTGAAAACATGCGGAACCCATCTGATGTTATGCCATATATACACCGATTTTTGTTGTTTGTGAATAGCTTTTTGGAGGGGAAACTCGTTTTGGGAGTGTAACCTTATATTAATTAGGCGGCATAATTTCCTGTGAAATAGTGTAGTGTTCCTTTATTTTGCTTCGAAGTTCTCTAACTCGCATATAAACACAGGATGGCCAT